GTGGAAGTAAAAGTGTTCATCGATTTGTTGCTGACGGTGGAAGGGAGTCGCCATGCGTGTAGCAGTTGCGAGATTGTTAGAAAGACAAAATGTCCTCTCGCACTCTTCAAAATCTTCCAGTCCCGCACCGTCAACGTAGAGTGGATGCCAGCCGATTTGACAAGCACGATTGTGGGCATGTCCGTGAAATGCCGGCACGATGCCACACATGCGGAGGCCGACAACACGGCGGCCCATGGAGCTCCGAAGAAGTGTCTTGAAGAAGGCACACATAATGTCATACCCGATGGCGGGGCGTTCACCATAGGTGTCGAGGAGGTAGTCAATAATCGCCAGGGGATATTTCATACTGAAAATCCACGTTAGAGCTGCGTGATCAGGTGAGAAAAAATGGACGCTGACAGTTCACCGCTCCGTATCATGTCACATATGACAAGTACGTGGCCGTGTCGGCAAACCGCAATGAAAATTCCAGCTACGGCGAACAAGGCAAACATTTTTTTGCGGGCCTCGGGTCCGGCATTCTTCCAGCGCTGTACACAGGTATCGACACATCGTTCTAGCTCGTTGGCTTCTTCCTCGTTGAGCTCGTTGATGTTGAGCCAAGCGACGTCGTCGTCGTTGTCATCCGGAAGATCGAACAAGCGGGGATCATCTGGATCGGGAGTGCTAGATCCGGCGCGCGGAAAACCGGATTGAGCTTGATTGTCTTGGCGCGGAGCAGAGGCTGGGGTAGGATTTGAAGCCGGGGTAGTAGATGGCTCAGCTTGTGCACCTAAAGCGGCGGTGACTGCAGCGATGGATGCCGCAGTTGCCATAGATATCTGGAATGCAGGGCATCAGTAGAAGTGTAAATGCGCTTGGAGAAGCTTACCTTTGGCGCGTTCTTTACTTCATCCTGATAGCGATCAACCTGGCTCGGCGTCAGCCAGCGGAACGAGAGAGATTTACGGTTGTCAAAGCGTGGATGACCCGCTCTGAATGTGCTGTCCACGAGTTTCAGGGAATTGTTCCCATCCAACGCACCAAGCCACGAGTATTTGAGCGGGGCTTCCTTCTCCACCTTGTAAAAGCAGGGCGGGCAAATTCCCGTCCAAATCCATTCCTTGTCGCGCCCCAGGGCGGCCTGTACGCGGTCATTGACAGCGCATAAAATGGTGAGGTACGCATCATATGCCGTGGTGAGTTGCTCGGCAAGATATGATCTATGCGGAATCTTCAAAATGATTAGTATACTGAGCGGAACGATTTCTTAATGAAACACGGACCTTGTGGAGATACGTCAAGGTCTTCGCCAACGAGTCGATGGTGTACCGCGGGCAGACGCGGTGCACCTGGCGGTATATCTCGAACATACGGAGTGAAAACGCGATGGCAGGTTGATCAGGTGATCCCCCAATGTAACCGTGGCGTAGGAGCGTTTCATTGGCTTTCTGAGCGTCGGGTGAATGCGCAAAGAGGCGGCTGCCGTTCTCTACCAAGTTCAAAATCATTCTGATACGATTCCAACACTAGTTTAATAAGATACGTACCAGAGAAGCCGACTACATTTAGTGGCCATACTCCATCTACCTCCGCACTTCCAATGTCCTTGAATTGAAGATATGTGTCGACGAGGAGGGGGAGCTGAACAGTCCATGAGTCAATCTGCCTCTGGACACACATTGAACGTTTCCTAGGGTCTCCGCGGCTTCTCCGAGTCAGGCGTGAAAGTGAACGAGTGAATAGAACTTACCCGGGCTTCACGCGTTCAAGCATGCGATGAAAAAGGCCTTCACCACCGGCATGGCTTTCAAGTGAGCCCTCTTCTCCAGGTGGTAGGGTGTAGAAGCCGGCAGAGTCGTCGGGAACGTCGTCCCAGTCACTGTCGTTGTCCTCGTCGCCGCCGAGATCATAACTTACATCATACACATTGGGCATTTCAATATCAGAATCTGCGAGGAGTTGCTCGCGCTGGACGAAACTAAGACCTGAGAGAGAGATGAGGGACACGAGTCAATGCTATAGAAATCGACACGTACTAGCAATTTGGTCATTTTGTGCCTTTTGCGCAGTGGCGCGTTGAGCGGCAGTTTTGTTGAGGGGGATTGACTTCGTAGCCCCCGGCGCCCGGGGCTTCCCAGTAGTTACTTTCACCCGATTGGAAAGACTGCTACGACCTTTGCGAGAAGACATGCGTCGACGTGGACAACGCTGTAAAGATGGTGAGAAGTGCCTCGCGTCCACGCGGATCAGTGCCCTCGGGTATCTCAGATCTGAAGGCGCGCCGCTCCTGCAGGAGCGGCGGCAGCGGCGTTCCACAGTGTCTAGCTAGGCGACCTGAGATGCTGAGTCGTACGGGGGGAAGGCAGAAATGGCTTGAATTCAAAGGTTTCTACACAGAGAAAATGTACTATGTGATCTAAACGAGAAAAAGGCACACCCCGGGGAAAAGGCGGACTCGCTGCATCACTGGCATGATGGAAGTGCCCATCTAGGTGCTGGCTGGTGGCGGGAGGGCGACGGCAATGACACTGAGGGCTGAGCTCAGTGAGCTACGGCGGTCCACGGGCGGAGAATGGCGGCGTGGGAGATGGCAGTTGGCGGTGCATCAGCAGAGATAAGCGGCGCGTGAGAGAGGGCTGATGGTGGGAGTGGGGAGGTTGGCGGCGCGCTGATGGCGCAGATGGACAGCAGCGGTGCTGGTCTGCGCTGAGGGTGACGAAATGGGTGTGAGGGCACAGAGGAAGGATCAGGCGGTGGTATGCCGGCGACGGGCGCGCACACGGAGCTGAGCACAAAGAAGCGGCGCTGGCGGGACAGCTGCCATCAACGGCGATGAACACCGATGATGGCGTGTGGGGCGGGCGGAGAGCGTCGAGGGCGGCGGGCACTGGGGGCGTTGACGACGTTAAGGCGGCGGCGGCGATGCCGCCGATGGCAGGGGCAGCAGGAGAGGCGGGGTGGTCGATGAGGAGGCGGCGGTGGTGGCGGGAGTGACGACAGTGACGGGCGTGACACGGCGAACACGCCCATCACGATCATCTGTATTGGGAACGTGGCGGTGAGTCCCAATACGGATGGCCGGAAACGCCCGGAACCGGCCCCGAGAGAGCACGTGGGAGGGCGACGGCGCTCGGGCTGTAAGTCAGAAAAGTCGAGAGATATTGGGGGGTATTACCGGGGGATGAGGGGACTCGCTATTTCCTATACCCGCTAGATGCCAGATCATGATCCGATCCGTCCATCAGATCAGTCACGATATCAGGGCAGGGCAGGTGGGTGCTCCTATATACAAAGAGGAACACACACACAACCAGGGCAAGACAAGGATGCAAAAATGCGAAGCAGGAATGCAGAGGATGAGTATCCCAGATGATAGACTTAGATGATAAGCCCGGGGCCCATAACCTGTTATAACAGGCAGCACAGAGGTCTGAAGTCAACAGTGAGAACTCGTGTGCATTGGCAAGGAAAAGGAAGTAAGTACTAACCTGAAGTCAACAGTGAGAACTGAGGACTCCAGGACTACACTAGTCTACTTATATATGTATTGTAGGTGTGTGGGAACAGGATGAGTAATGTGAGTAATGAGGATGAGTAATGCTCAGTAAGCTGCTCAGTCAGCTGCTCAGTCAGCGGATCAGTCAGCTGCTCAGTCAGCATTAGTAAGTACAACTACATAAGTAAGGATCAAACCGGATCAAATAGGTAAGCAGGAATGCGAGAATGTCACAGTCCAGTCACAGACTCCAACAATTATACAGATATTATCTTACCCTGATCAGACATGCGAAACCTGCTCATAAATAGCGCTTACTATAGAAGCATCAGCACTGCTGGCCGGTTAAACAGCCAATGAATAGGCATCCAGTTACTCATAGTAGCTTACGATTTGGCTCGCATATCTTTGTATATAAGTAGCCTCTCAATAGGGTTCTTCTCTAGCGAGAAGAACCTCAAATACAACAGTTTACATCTTATGACTTGAGCTAGACACTCTTCTCCTAGTCATCCTCTCGAGCGGGCTACAAGCCTGGCTGCTCGTTCTCTAACAAGCAGAGTCTCTTGTCTCACTGTGAGTTGTGATACACATCTCTTATTCTTATGCACATAGACTAGTATAGCCTGGGTCCTCAGACCATTGTGCTGCCTGTTCTCACAATTCAGCAGTGTTTGGGTGTTGAACACAGAGATGCAGATGAGAGCTGAAGAAGCAGATAGGTGTACAGATGGAAGGCAAAACCACAATCAATTACACAGCCCCAAAATATTTGCCTGCACAGGAAGAGTGCCCCTGGTGCTGCCACTTCTGTGGTGGCTCAGGCATAAGCATTCCTTGCTGACACATGATATCAGTGTTGGAGTCTGTGAGTGGACTGTGCCGCATTCCTGCTTATCTAATGATCCGGTTTTGATCCTTACTTAATGCTGACTGAACAGCTTACTGAGCATTACTCATTCTGTTCTCACATTACTCATACTGTTTCTACACACATACAAAACATATATATAAGTAGACTAGTGTAGCCCTGGAGTTCTCCACTGTTGACTTCAGACCTCTGTGCTGCCTGTTCAAACAATCAGAGGTATCAGAGGGGGAGATGCATAATGTACAATTTGATACACTATATACAGTTTGAAAATGCATATCATTCTTTACCCATCAAGACACTGGTTAAATATTTCAAGTTTTATGCTGAAAATTTTAATGCAACATGTTTTGAATTTCACAGCAATTTTTCGCCAAAAAAGTAGATGAAAAACTCGAAACATTTTTGTGGCCTTGTTGAACCTTGTGAAAACTTCTGAAAAAATTGTTTTGAAGTTCAAAAAAGTCACGGAGAACTTCCAAGTTTTGTACTTGGTTTTTTGCTGAAAGATTGCTATAAAATTCAACACATTTTTCACTGAAAAACTTGAAATGTTCAACCAGTGAGATGCAGACAAGTAGCAAAGAAAACTGTGTCATCCTTCATAAAAACCTGATACACTTTAACAGAGTGTGATTGTTGGAAAAATGGCTGAACTGGGGATCAAACCAGGACCTTCTCATTACATGCAAGATGCTCTAACCCGAAGGTATCCAACTGAGCTATTCTGCCGATAGTGTGCAAGGAACATAATACATACGGCAACAGATAGTGATATAGGCTCAGGCCCTTCATGATCACATGTCTGAAAGAAAGGCTATTCTCAGCAGGGGCTCTGGCCTGGCAAGAATAGCACAAGTGTAAGGAGGAGTGGCAGAGTGGACATGTGGCAGCAGCAGGCGAGCACATGGGTGGAGCCAGTGCTTTCCAGAGGGGGCAGGAAAGTGTTAGTTGCTTGCAGTGACATGTGCTGACTCCAAAAGAATGATGGGAAGTAGAAGTGGGGTCAGCAGGATAGAGTCAGAAATAGGTGTTGTTAGAGAGGTTGCTGTGGAGGCTGCAGAGATTCACTGTAAGCAATGGAGTATCTGGGAGAATTGTTCAGGATTGCCTCTGATGAGGGAATAGAGCTCTGAGGGGGAGTTCCCTATTGAAAACAGTGTCAGACTGGCTAGATAACTGTGCTGAGATCATGTGACCTCACAGGCAAAGGAAAAATTATTGGCTTAAGTAGGGTTCGAACCTGCGTCCCTAGCACTCTAGGGTAGTGCTGAAGGTGCTGGCAGAGTTGGGTGGTTAGTCCCTTACACAATGATGGACAGTTAGTCACACCGGGTTTGGTTGCCACCTCCAACAAACTAAGACCTAAACTTACCTGGAGAGCAATAGTTGAACATTTCAAGTTTTTCACTGAAAATTTTGGTGAAAAATGTTTTGAATTTTACAACAATTGTTCGCCTGAAAAGTAGGTGAAAAACTTGATTTTTTTTTGTGATTTTTCAACCTTGTGAAAAACTTCTGAAAAAGTGCTGAAAAAGAGTTCAAGAAAATCATAAAGAAGTTTCAAGTTTTTCACTTGGTTTTTCACTGAAAAATTGCTGTAAAATTCAAAACATTTTTCACCAGTTTTTTCACCAAAAAAATTGAAATGTTCAACCAGTGGAGTGAAAGGAACAACTATTTGGTTGTAGTGGCTGATCCACAAAGCTGTTCTAGGACAAAACCTGTATCAGATACAATAGCCAATGCTATGCAGGGAAATCACAGCAAGGTTGTGCTCAAAAGTATTGGCCATTTGAAGTGCTGCACTAGTTGAATCTCTATGATGTGCCACAATGAGCACACTGTCTGGTTTCAAGAGCAACTCATTGTCACTGTCCTTTAGAGGGAACAGCAGCAGCAGGGTTTCTGTGTACCTCCCAGGCAGATGTGTAGCAGTCACCACAAAGTACTCAACCACTGGTGGCTCCATTATATGCCATTTGAGATCTGAAAGGAGACACCAAGATCAAAGACCTAGTGGTATTCCCAGGCATCTGTTATTCACCCTCTTTATGTACTCAGTTGGTTGATTTTGGGTGTATCCCTTTCACAGTGGCTCACCATAAAAAAAGAAGGAGCTCACCAGTAAAGATGTATCTGACGAAGAGATGCCCGTTGCATTCACCAGTTTAAGTTTAGCAATGCGCCCCACTGCAAAGCTCCGTCCTGCTGACCGTGCCTATCACATTGATTCTGTCTACCCTGAGCTTATTATCGACCCTAACACTCCTGCTCCCTCTCCCTTCTTGAAAGAAAAGTGTTGAGCAGTCTTGGATGTGTGAATATCACTCTGCCACATATTGAGGGTGGTGGTATTACCATAGCGAAGGCATGAGCCATTCTCGAAGATGGTCTGGGAAGAATAAATTCCTGGGCACCGTCAGTTTTTTACACCAGTGTCTAGTTGCCATTCAGCTGATTTTCTCTCATGCACAGTATCTTGTGTTGAAGCTTGGATGTTACTGGTCCATGACATCAACTGATATGGATCTCCCATTCTTATTGTCCTGATACTAATCAGCATCTATTGTTTTCACCAATACTGATCTTCCCTTATTGTTCTTACCTACTCTATTGTTCTTGTACCTATATAGGTAGCTACTCTTGCAATGGATCTGGGCTTTTTGCCTTCTATCTGAGACCTGTCTGAGACCTATCTCCCTTTTCAGCTTCCATCTGTGTTCCCACTTCCAACATCTTGCCCACATGCACTGCATGCTCTGACTTCTTTTCTTTCTCACAATCCTGAACACAGTACTGGAGGGTCCTGCAAAGTGCTATGCTGTAAGGATCCAAGTTCATATATACCAAGGCCTATATTTTTCTTTCATTTTTTACTTGTATAATCTCCGTATCGAACCCACGACTGATACCATGCTCGTATATACAGTAGATTAGTCATCATCTTAGCATGTGACAATATCATCTACACTTTGCCAACAACCCTAGTCATCATTGCGCCTTTACCCCTCACTGAGTAACTCCGAGGACTCGTTGAGTACCTCCGAGTCATTGAAGGCACAGGTGACCTCTATCTGTTCATTTATACCCATTCAAAGCAGTCATCTGACGATCTCCTGCTTTTCATTAGGTTTTGCGTTGCCACATAGTACACTCTCCCCTCTTCTGAATATTTGGAGAGGTTGAGCACTCGTTTCACGGAGAACAGATATCTGACTCTTAACGAGTGTCACTTCGAGAGTGACTGTAGTCACTGGGGGCAGGATACAATTTCCTGGGCCTGAAAATGTTCAAGTAAATTTTAGTTTAATTTTAAACATTCCCACTATATCCTGGTGATATACCGAGCCATTAAATGTTGTGAATATTTGAAACATTCTTGACATTTGTTCAACATTTCCTGGCCCAGTAAATGTTAAGTGTATTTTAAACTTCCACATCATATAATCACTAATTACCATGTCAGTATATTGCAAATTTACCGCCTCGGTATATTAGAATCATTTTGACCAGCCAAACATCCTCAAAAAGGAAATAATCAGATCAAATTCTGGTCATCTGACTCTTGGGATTTCATTATCTGTCCTTCTCAGATTTCACTCCTCAATAAGGAAATAAATAAGACTTACTTAAAAAGGCAGAAGAGACGTAAACTTGGGACAGTCCAGAGGACAAAGATGGGGCAGAAACAGGGCCAGAGGAGTGGAATATGTGTTGTTAGGCAAGAAAGTAAATTTATGTGGCACAAATACAGGTTAATCAGGCCGAGAAGTATACATTCTTGCTGGGGGTACAAATAACAATGTGGCTGACCAAGAGGTCAACCTGTGTGATACAGAAATCAGTACATCAGCCTGGAGAGTAACCATTTATCCACTTCTATTTACTAGCTGCTCATACAAGTGGGAATTACCTTATTTATGATTTAAATTTACAAATGGCACTGTTAAATGCATGCAAAATGTGTTTAATCATGTATATATAGTCCAAAGCTTGTAATCAGATTACCTGATTACAAATGGCCTTTTGGCACAGTTGGTTCTGCTGCTAGCTTTGGGCACGGGATTTAACAGTGTAATCAGGTACAACCGGTCGCGAGTTCAATCCCCAAAGGTGGCAATATTTTGCAGGCCTGTGGAACCTGACTTAATTTGTCATCATTTGATCTCGGTAACGTCCGGCAGGTTGATCATGTGACCTGCGGGTCTCCTGTGTGTATCATGTGGTCTTCGGAAGTGCACCCGGGGTTCCGTCCCCGGTTCCGGCCCATTCCGGGCTTTTCTGTTCCATTCCGGAACATTTCGGATCCATTCTAGGATCATTTCGCACTTCGAGGGCTCAGTGCCTAATGGGGGGGCACTGTTAAATGCATGCAAAATGTGTTTAATCATGTATATATAGTCCAAAGCTTGTAATCGGATTACCTGATTACAAATGGCCTTTTGGCACAGTTGGTTCTGCTGCTAGCTTTGGGCACGGGATTTAACAGGCACATAGGTTAAAGGTCTAGAGGGCCAGTCTAATGCAGCTACTCTTATTGCTTTCTCTAGAATGTTTTTAACAGCAAAATTCTAGAGAATCTTTATAGAGAAAATAAATACCAGAGGGCAGGATCGAACCAAGAGCCCTCAGAATATGGATTACAATCACGTGTGGTCTGTACTTGTACACACCTCACGTGCCTTCATGGTCTTGAATTCTTGTCCTATGTGGCTGTGTTAGGACAAGAATTCATGACCACAAAGGACTAAAAGTGTTTTACAAGCTGCATTTGGACCAATCATCTATATCCTATGAGCTAAAGTTGTCACCCTCTTTATAAAATTACGTGTGTCCGTCCGTCCGAAGCTTTTTAAGCTCCGTCCAATCTCTGATGATACCGCGCTCCACGGCAGCTCGCCGTCAGTGATTGTCGGGCTCCCGTGTCTGCCAGTCTACAGTCAATCAACCTTTGGCAGACACTGCCTTCGCACTAACATTGACAGATGGCTCCCACCACAACGAAACAAAGGCTGCCGCGGCCAACGTCAGCATTGTCAGCAGCGCGCGGAGTCACTTGGAGAGATCTCAGTTGGGGAGCAAACCTCGCGAGGCTTGAAAATGAACAAAAATACCTGAAAATTAGGCCTTCAACGCCATTACCTCATATATTCACTCTTATTCTGAGGTAATAATATGAATCAGCATCTTTGCTCAATGCCCAGTGCAGATGGCCTAATTTTATGCAATGGGAGAATAAAAAAAAAAAACTGAGATAGGTGGAATGAAGGGGAGTCAAATGTTGTGCTTCCGTCTTTCTATTATCGAGATAATTTATCTCAGCACTGAAGTAAATCGTCAACTCAACTCGATTGAATTCAACCCAGTGGCATCATAGTTTTGGATATTCAGTCCGCCTATGAGTTTATTAAATTCAGATAAGGGGATGGGAGGCCGCGAAGTGGCCGACCAGTCCCTTGTTGATATATAACATGAGAACATGATAGATGTGAATTTCCTGTCATTCACTGGTTCAAGCCTAAATCCGAAAGGATTTTCTACCTTTGTCTGCTGCGTCATGTGACCTCTCAAAATTATAACTGTCCTAAACTTTGACTGGAGTTTCTATTATATATTTACTCAGGCTGAATAACAACCTGGGGAATTGAACGCACATCCAAAGCATTGATTCTAAATTTGGTTTCTAGGTTGCTTGAAGGCTTTTCTACTGCAATTGCCAGTTTTTCTTGAGCAGACACCATCCAGAGTATATATGAACATTACAGATATAGATTTTTTTAAATACAGTACTTGGAAAGGTCAAAGCTTAAGCTAAAACAAAGTTGTCCATCAATTAGATCTGAAAAAAGAATGGGACCAGACTGAATCGAACCCAGGACCCGTTGAAATCACATGACTCCTCCAGCAGTTTCCGGAGCTTATGTCAAATTCCAACAAGCACCGGAAGATCTCAGATGCTCACACTGTTGAGTTTGTGAACTACAGTCCATTTGACAATAGGTAGAATTGGTAAGAGTCAAAAATGGGCTTGAAAATGCTCTCAATAAGGAATGAGGCTAGTGGCACTGATCACTGATTGAACGCTCAGAGTACTGACTCCAAGAACATTATATAGTTTTTCTATAGTGGGTTATATTATGATCAAGTGTGTGAAATCTCAGAGATCCCAGAGTTTACGATCATTTGAGATTGATGGATTTCACTGATTGCACTACTTTTGGAAATCATTTATTGCCATTTTGAGAAGGTTTTGTCATGCAGCACATGTTTGGTGATCAAAAATGATTCTGATATACCGAGGCGGTAAATTTGAAATGTGCTGAGGTGGCAAATAGTGATGATTTGATGGGAAACTGTAAAATACACTCGAAATTTCCCAGGTCAGGAAAAGTTGAACAAATGCTAAGGATTTCTCAAATATTCTAAAGATTTCATGGCCTGGTTTCTTATGAGGATATTTCAGGGATGTTTCAAATTAAACCAACATTTGCTTAAAATTTTCAGGCCCAGAAAATTGTATCTTGCCCCCAGTAAGTAGGAATTCTTTACCACAATATAACCCGTGGACTTGCCAGAGCTTTTAATTGCAGAATTGAATACCCGTAAGGTTCGCCCAGTCCTTACATATGCAGGCATCCAAGATTACCCACTGCTGCATTAAAGGCCGCAATGTCCGTTGGCCCAATGCACTGGATTTACAGCTCAAGACTGCTGACCCTGTGCTCGACGAGACCATACACATCTGCCTCAAGCATCTCCTCAAGTTTCTCTGCCAACAAGGCATCAACTGTTGGGTGCACAAGGAAATGTCAGCAGCACAAATCATTGCCTTCCACCAGGCGAGTATATTGCTTGGGCCTACCTAACCTACTGACATCAATATCCCAGTTCTTCGCTGTAATGCAGGCATCAGCATTGACTGCGAAGCAGTGGGAGCTCTGAGCAATGCTGGAAGCAGTGAGGGATGTGTGGACAGACAAGACTCTGCAATGTGCCCTGGCAATTGCAGGCTTCTGCTAATAACAGAATATATCATGGCTACAATTCTGGCTGGAGCTCGTGAGCCCTGTGTAACACATGTTCTCACTACATTCAGCAAAACTCCAAATTCCGAGCAGCAGCAGACATCGTGAAGGACAAGCTGATGAAGTTCATTGAGAGAAGAGGCCAAGATATAGCTGAGTGTGCTGATTGTCAATGCACCATTGACAGCACCATAATAATTGGGCTCATGGCATTGATGTCTTTCTTTTGGTTTCAGTGTTGCATGGTCAATGGTCACTTCACTATGGCCAGAGGTGCTAGGGCTGTGTTCTAGGGTCATATTGAACATAAACATTCTTCTGTCTGGTGTGTTATGTTCCTTCATCCCTAAATGATATCTTATCTCTGTCTTTTCTCAACACCAAGAAAAACAAAGGGCAGACAGGCTCAGATAGGAACAGTGACAAGTGGGAGAATAGGGAAGGTTGTGATTTCTCGAGTACCCAGTACACTAATTTATTCAAACAGCCTACACCTCTCTTATTAGTCTCTCCAGCAGGAACCTCGCCAAGAGTAACCTCAATCTCTTATATATATCCCTAGGATCCTGGAATGCTGTTTGCAACCTCACGCTGAACAGCGTACTCCCCCCGAGGTGGCTCTGGGGCCTATATCAACGACGAGCTCCAGCATATGCAAGAGACCCTCAATGAGTTCCAGCGCACTTATAGCCCACTGAACACGCTCTCTTTGTTTGCTGTCATCTGGTCCCCACGGCCCACAGAGTTATCCCGCATTTTTATCGCAAAGCACTTGGTGAGGAACACTGCCCCAAGATCTATATCTGCACTGTGCTCGTGTCTATGGGGGGCCCTCTCATTCAAGCCCGCTGCCTTTGTGATGTTGCGGGTTGTATTGGGTGTGACCAATGGGAAAAATAAAGGCTGCTGCCAGACTCAAACTGACGACCTTCTCATTACAATACTCTGAACCCAAAGGTTAACCACTGAGCTAAGCAACCATTATTGGACCTGAGGAGTGACTGCTCTACACTGTAGCATTACATCACTCCCCACACTGTCAACACAAGTTTGGGAGCCTTAGAGCGAGAGCTTGACAACATTGCTGTCAAAGCCTGTGGTGGAGGCTTCAAGAAAATCTGTTTCTACTGCAACACCTATAAAACAGCCATTCTAGAGCTCCTCAATTGCACAATAACAGCCTGCATGATCAATCCCTTCTCCTCCATGCTATCTTCACCGCTGTACACACACACCACACATTTTCCCACATTGCTCAGCGACTTGAGGCAGAAGCCCTCAATCCCGTCTTCTTGAGGTATAATGAGTTGGCTGAGCTTTTGGATGTGCTAGGTATCAAAGAACTAGTCAAAGGTAAGCATTTTTACTGTTGCCTCAATAGTCTCTGATTTTGTGTAGTTTACTTTGGGCCCAACAGTCTCGATATCCATGCAGTGACCGAGGAGGAACTCTGGTACACAGTGCACTACAACATGCCTGATACTCGAAGGGAGTACCTTCCCTCCAAGACATGGAACGACAGATGCTACGGTTCCTGGAACTGTGATCTCAACCCTTTTTGGGGTGTGTGGATAGCTTATTGTAGTATCATGGGGACATGGAGAAGGAAGAGGAGGATCTGGAGTACTTCGTAGGCCGAGATGACGATGAAGAAGAGATGCTTTTCTTCCTGGATGTCCGTGCAGTGGAAGAGGCAGAGGAGGAAGCCGAGGAATTTGATGATGATAAATAGAGCAAAAATGAAGGGAGCGAGGTGGAGAGCGACAAATGGAATAGCCAGATCAGTGGCAGCAGAAGCCAGGGTAAGGGCAATGACTCTGAGGGCGACCCCAAAGACCACTTTGAAGAGGAGTGAGAAGATGTCTGTAGACTTAATATTTAACCCTGATTTCTTGAAACTCTTCATTTCAAGCTATATACATGCGTGACGAAGGTTGATGACAACTTGGCATGAAACAATGCAACAGTTCTGCAAAGGTTATCCAATGTGTACACAATGTGGGGTAGTCTTCAGAATTCTGTATGGTGTAGGTTGACCAAAGAAAGAGGCCATCTTGTCTGCAGATGAAACAATTGTTGGAGTCTGTGTTTGGATCGGACGATCAGATCAGATTGATGCAGAGCTTATTGTTGGGATACTGATCTCCCCTATTGTTCTTCTTATTTTTCTTATTGTCTTTCCTGATACTGATCTTGCTCTTATTGTTCTCCATAAGGCAAATATTGGCTTCAAGGTAACAGATTTGCATCTCAGACCTGTCGATGCTATCAATACTATATTCTTTACTCAGCTTTTGAAGAACCATATATCTGGTCCATTATCTGCTCTACCTTCCTGCATTTATCCCCACTTGGTGTTGCTGTTCACGAGCAGTCCAAAAAGCTCTGCCATATCTATCATCTTGTTGACGTTAGAATTGGCTATCGGTGTCTAGGTACCTATTCCCTCTCATGATTGTCCTGGACCCTTACATATATGGATATTATTGTACCGTGACCCATGACCGATAGACCGCATGTACATGCATCCTGGCTCGTTCACACGACCACGGATAGGCATCCGGTTACTCATCATAGCTTACACATACGGCCCGGCCATCTTGTATATAAGTAGTCTTGATAGGGTTCTTCTTTATCGAGAAGAAGCTTGAATACAACAGTTTTACCTTCATAAACTCGAGCTAGATGCTCCCCTTCTTAGTCGCCCTCTCAAGCAGGCCTTTCGCCCACCGCTTGTACTTTAACACATCTCTCTGTCAACAACAGCATTCCAGACTCTGAGGCAGCTATCTCTTATGACATGCATAATTGTGCTGTTGACGACCTTATTTCCAGCCTAGGAATAATGTAGAATAAATGCCTGGATAGAATGATCCAATTGAAGTTCAGATTAGTGCTGCCGCAGCTTGGCTATGGCTGGCTCAGCTCAGTTTTTGATGGCTCAGAAGCTGTTTCTATTGAGATCATGTGACCTCACAGGCAAAGGGAAAAGTATCGGCTTAAGCAGGGTTCAAACCTACATTACTAGCACTCTAGGGTAGTGCTCTAACCAACTGAGCTACTAAGCCATTGGCAGAGTTGGGCGGTTAGTCCCTTACACAATGTGGATGATTTTTAGTCACACAACGATGGATACACAGGTTCAGTTACCACCTCCAACAGTTTCCAAATTGGGTAAGCTGAGCCACCATTGAGCCACTGGCTTTTGATGACTTTGGCTCGCCTTCAGCTAAGCTATAGCTCGTCACCAAATTGAACTTTGCAAAGGAATCAGTGATTCTGGACATTATATCCTTTGGAAAGAAACCCTAGTCATCCAATGGTGCTTGCAAGCACCTGAGATCATGCTCAATTTGAGCTCAGGGCCAATTTCAACATCTGTTGTACAGTTACTAGTTAGGCAAAAATGAAGGCAAAAGACAAGGGGTGCAAAGGCCAAATGTGTACATTTTGAACCGTCAAGTGGATATGTACAATAGGGACAGTAGAGCATTGATAGTTGACTGTGTTCTAAATTGGGTCTGAGCCATGGTTTAGCCAGCTTGAAACCAGCTGAAGTTGAAGCTGAGCTGGTCGAAGCCGGGATCATGTGGCTCAGCTTAGCTCACACAGCTTAGCAGCTTCAAGCCTAACTGCAGTAACACTAGTTCAGATAGCATATTGCTTGGAGATAGAGAGGAGCAAGCACCAGACACTACAAGAGGACTGATCAAATATAAGTTTACATCTCTTCTGCCTTCTTAAGTAAGTCTCATTTATTTCCTTAGTGAGAAGTGAAATTTGAGAAGCACAGAGAATGCCGATATATTAGAATCATTTTGACCAGCCAAACATTCTCAAAAAAGAAAGAATCAGATCAAATTCTGGTCATCTGACTCTTAGGATTTCATTGTCTGTGCTTCTCAGCTTCTTAATAAGGAAATAAACGAGACTTACTTAAGAAGGCAGAGGAGATGTAAAGTGTAAATACACTTAACATTTACCAGGCCCGGAAATGTTGAACAAATGTCACGAATATTTCAAATATTCTCAACATTTAATGGCTCAGTATATCATCAGGATATACTGGGAATGGTGAAAATTAAACTAAAATTTACTTAACATTTTCAGGCCCAGGAAATTGTATCCTACTCCCAGTGGCAGGCTCTAATATCTAAATGCAGATTCTTGTAGTCCAAATCGGGTGATTGTGTCATGTTGAGTTCATCACAGCTGTGTTGGTGTATGGGCATACACAGAGTATATGAAACCCTCACAACAAGTGGGAGGGAGCTCTTTGACAGTGTTTGGCCTTGGACTGTTTATACCTTTAGGTTACAGCAATTGGCAGTACTGAAGGCGTGAATCAGAAAATTGTCGTTTTAGGCAATTTTCGATTCGCGCGACCGATTTGCCCATAACTCGACAGAATCTTCACCAAATGAGCTGAAACTTAGTTAAATAATTCGGCCTAATTCATATGCTATTAGTGATAGAAAAATATCAGCGAAATAATAATATCTTTCACCGTGTATCAATCAGCTTCTTCTGAATGTCAAATCCACTTTCTATCACTAATAGCGTATGGATTAGGCTGAATTATTTAACTAGGTTTCAGCTCATTTGGTGAAGATTCCATTGAGCTATGGGCAAATCGGTCGTGCGAATCGAAAATTACCCAAAACGGCAATTTTCTGATTTGCGCCTTCGGTACTGCCAATTGCTGTAAGTCATTTTCGTTTTGTGGGCTTTCACCTGAGTCCTGAGAACATTGAGTAGGGTTCAGAACCTAAGTACAGGGCACTTGGGCTTGAGGTGATCATCCACAGGTGCACATGTTAGAGCTGATCCTTGTAGGTGATCACAGTCATGCTCAGTGGCATAGTACTTCTAGATGCAATGCTCGTCTGGTGGCAGATGTGTGCACTGGAGATGTGGGATCTACAGGATCTCCATCTGGTGTATGGTGAAGCAGGGGATGCATAGGGATCAGGAATAGCGCAGACACAGTGAATGCAGTGAAGAGCCAAGAATAGATGATGTTTGGCTGCTCTGTCTACTGCTGATATGTCTAGCACAGCCACTGATGTGTCTATATGCACTAGTACAGCACTTGATGCATTGTCCTGCAGCCCCAACCTGTCAGACACAGTAGTCAATACTATGTGGGGAATGTACAAAGGGCCAAGGTCATGCTCAAAAAGGGGAAGGAGAATGTGGAAATGATCTGTATTGCTAGTGGAGATATGACCAGCTCAAGACTGAGGACTACAGCTACTACAGGTCTGTATATATATTGTGGTAAGTGTATCAGTGAGCATGAGAATGGTCTGAGTAATAACAGGAATACTAATAAGTATGGACATGGTCTGAGTAGGTATGGGAATGCTCTCAGTCTAACTATAGATAGTAACAGAAAGATCATAGTGAGGTCTGATAAGCTTAGATAATGTTGAAGGTCCTTCTGGGAGTTCCCTTTGCACCATTTAGCTCAGTTGAATATCTTCAGGTTAGACTATTGCAGGTTTGAATCCTGTTTCAGCCACTTTTCCAACAGATAAGTAATCTGTTCATGACATTACTCCCTCTCACACAATGGGTTGGGCTGTTTCAATCTTCCTATTTTCCCAATTGTACAGATGCCCAGGAAGACAGGGTGTTGTCGTGAAGTTTTCAATATGTTTATAAATGAACTGGGTATTTTGGGGGGTGAGGGGCTGAGGGGTGTTTTCAGTGGAATTTATGAAGACTGGTGTTATGTTCAACCAGCTCCCAGCTATCTTCCTCCTTTGGATATCCTTTCCAATTATTTGAGCTTCCCCTTTCTAAGCCTTGAATCCAACACTTCTTCAACTTCATACTCTTCATAATCATCAACAAGCTCAGGTGGCGGTGCAGGGGGTTCTTTCTGGGAAGGGAATTTTGGGGTGGTGAAAGGACACAGGAGGCATTCATTGAAGACAGGATGTTTAATTTCCAAGAGAGAGAGAAGGTAGGAGGAGGTGCCAATCTTTTTTATGACCTTGAACGGACCATAGCATTTGTCATCAAATTTCTTGGCAGGGCAAACAGTGGTAATGTAGGTCTGTTCCTTCATTAAGGACCATGTCGCCTGCCTTGTACTCGATAGCATCACTACGCTCCTGATCGTAGAACTGCTTTATCGTCTCTGCAACTGCTTTTAGAGATGACTCTGCTTCCTCCCTGATCTTCTTCATGCTCTTGGCAAATGCTTCAGCATCAGGTGTGCAGACAGTTCCTTTGGGCTTAATCCCTTTCTATGGATGTTGTCCATAGTTCAGGAAGAATGGAGAGTAGCAGTATAGATCTTATTGTTCTAAGAAAACTCAGCAATGGCAAGCCATTCTACCCAATCATCCTGGCGATGGTTGACAAAGATCCTGAGGAACTGCTCCAAGTTCTAGTGAACACACTCTGTTTGCCCATTGGTTTGTGGGTGGGACACAGTAGAGATTTTGATGTCTAGAAGCTTGCATAAGTCTTTGCTGAATTGTGATGCAAACTGAGTTCCCCTGTCATGTATCAACTGTTCTGAGAGCCAATCTCCGTGTTTACTGCCTGGAACTTGGCAGCTACCTTTTCCCACCTTCTGCTAGCGCCGCTGGTAGACCTCATCATCCTGTCTCCATAACCGGCACAATGCCGTGTAGTGCCGAGCCTATATCTGGTCTGATGCAGCCTGATCTCGGTGGGCCATCTCTGGCAAACAAACCACCCGGCCAGTGCCGAGTCTGTCGAGATTGAACAGAAATATGCAATTCAAAATTCACAGAAAATTCATAGACAATTGGGAACGAGAAATGTGTGCCGCACATGTGGCTATAGCTATATTGGTACAGGTGAGTCTACATAAGCCTAGCTCAGGTAGACACAATGTTGCAAACATACACATAGGTAGATAAAAGTTGATGGTGTGTGTCTACTACATGTAGGCATACCTAGACATATATCTGTGTGTACCCCTATATATGTTTACGCGGGTAGACAGAGCCTCTGTCTACGGGGAGGCCTCAACGCAGTGAACTTGCTCCTCAGCAAACACAAGTGCCACTGGGCCTCCCTCAATCACGGACCCAAGCACCCGCCTGGCTCTGAGGTTCCTCTGATCCGACCCGCACAGGAATATACTGGCGGCAGACAGTGCAATGGAATGTAAGTCCCAATAGGTCCCCATTTCCAGATTTGAAGCCTTGGCAATAGAACACACAAATAGAAACTACAAGTTAGGCTGTACCTTCAGTGTGCCCTCTCATTACTTACTGAACATCTCGTGGCCACCATGTTTCATCCAATTGTCCCGTTGGAGTTGCGTTGGGGCAGTACATGTCATGATGTGACCCTGACATGACCCTGATGTGATCGCTTTGACGGGACCTGTGTACATATAAACAAAGTTTAGTCCTTGTAATGGGATTTGGCGTGTTGAGCACATTGCAAGTGGTAGTGCAAAAGAGAGAGGAGAAAGCATGCGGCATAGAAACTGACTCAGAGTGCGGCGCTGAGTCGCCGCTGATGCGGCACGGCAAACCTCGGAACGGCTGTGCAAAAGCTGTGTCGAAGGCAGCCATCTAGCACCGGAAGATGGTTACGCAGCGAGCTGGGAGGTCGATCTGGTATCTCCACCAGTGACTGAGTTGCAAGACGGCAGAAGCTCTTGGAGGCGGAGACCATGAGATGTAGGAATTCAGAATCTGAATTCTACGTCGAGCACGGCGAACAGAAACAGTGGAATCATCTGATATGCTGTGCTTTTCGGTGCTGATGTGACGCTGATGTGACGCTGTCATGATAGATTGATGTCGAGCGGCGCAAAATGTCTGTACTGACTCAGTAGCCTTAGATGCATCACATTTTTGCGATGCGGGTCAGTAAAAAGTTAATGGTCGTCGGAGAAACATCGGAAAAAGTGCAATTTAATTGATGCCCCAAATGTTACACTTTCTGGCTTGGGGGAGGAATATAAAAACGAGTATAAACTACTGTTTAGTCCTCATAATAGACGCCAGAGCCTGCTGCCTGTCCCACGACTGCAAAGTCCTCCCCCTCCATCCTACCATGGTGAGGCCCC